TACAGTACCTGTCTCGAGTGTGACGGCGTGTATCCAGTGTAGGTAAGCATCCACCCGGGTGTACACGCCTGGTTTGAGCACCTGGCCACACCCCTCTCCCCAGCTGACCACGCCCACCAGCTCCCACGTGTCTCTCTTGGCCTGACACACCAGCGGACCGCCACTGTCGCCCTACATGGACAGATGGGTTGTAGTAAGTGTTTTACGGCACTTGCAACACAATAAGGTCATATCAAATGCCGAAGAATATAAGTGAGGCAGCGTGGAGGAATCAGGCTCTCGTCAATTTTTGGGCATGTAGAGTTATTGGTATCATATTAAAACTTGTTCACTTGTCCTTATTTTGGTGAAAATAATATCCATTGATCTTGAATACAAGTCGAGATATTTGCGAAAGAAGGAGGTGGGGGTCACTTGTTTTCTGAGGTTAAATTAGTGGAAAAAATGGCCTTCAAAGATTAGTTATTTCCTAAGCTTAAGAGTCCGTGGTAACTGAAAATTTACATTTTTGTGCTTTTAATCAACGCTTTTCAGAAAAATCCACACAGAAATGAGTTTTTTAATGGGGATGAAAGGTGTTGAGCCAAAAGACAAAAATTTGATAAAATTTCACAAACCTGCGGAAAAATGCAAGTTTCTTTACTTTGATTATTTGAGAGTCTGATTCCACCACGCTGCCTCATATTTATGTAACAAGAGAGTAATGTACACAAAAAAGAAGGTGTTTAGTATGTGTAGTATGGAGTTTTATGGTGCTCGTAACTGCATAAGGTCATATGAGCGCGCAAGTCACTTGGTCCCCACCTTACAGGCATCAATCTGACCAAATTCGTAGCCCGCGCAAAGCATTGTGGCCGGTTTGAACTGGTCGCCATATGACGTCATACACTTATCCTGCTCCCAGATCTTGACCTTGGCGTGGTGTAGGATTGAGGAGAATTTCGCCACAGCCACTTCTGGATGTGGGAAAAAAAAGAAAAGATGTTGAGATCTGACCTGCAACAGACTTAATTGGTCGCCTTTAAGCATAAGGGGGC